TTATCCATTATTTATACATTATTATTATCCATTATTCCCTATAACACCCCCCCCAATTTTGTTAAACCTAATTTTATAAATATACACATAACTACCAAAAATTTTATTCAATAAAATCTATCTCTTACACTAATAATATAAATTATATCATTAAGTAAGATTTTTTAAAAAAAAAAAACTATATCTTTATGTAACTTCAAAATATTTTCATTTCCCATATTAATTTTATATGGTAAAAGACTTTAAAAAATTTCAATCTCTCATATAAAATCAATATGGTAAAAGACTTTAATTTTTTTTTTTTAAATTTTTTTTATATTATATATCACCTCAAAATCAAATAAAATTTTTTTTTAAAAAAAATTAAAAATTTTCATTTTTTTATTTTATTTTTTTATTTTATTTTATTTTCAATTTTAAAAAATAATCATATTATAATAAATAATGAAAGTATAATAATAACAGAGATAATATTAATAATAATAATAATGATAACAGTAATAAATAATGGTATGGGATTATTCTTTGTGATCTTTTGTTTTGGCTATGATTATGGAGCTGAAATTTTAAAGATTTAAAATAATACCACCAGTATTGATCAACACGTATAAACTATTTGTAAGATCAGAAATGACATCCATCAAACCACCTTTAAACATTCTTAGAAGCAGATTCTAGCCTATTAAACAATATAAACCAGTCTTCAAACTAATATTAATCACAAGTTCAGATACCATGGTTCAATTGTGCTACTCGTAGGGTTTAAACAATAATAAGGCAATAACCCACTTTTTAGGCTATGTTTACATAATAATTTCAAACGTACTTATCACTCATTCAACTATTAAATACCTAATCATATCCTTCAATCAATATAAATATTTAAAAATAAACAATAAACAATCCTAATAACCAAAATAATAATAATAATAAATACCTATTTCTACCAAAATATACATTGATAAAGACTTTTCATGTAAATAATCTAAATAATATAAACAATATCAATAATAACACATGAATAATCAATGAATTATAATAATAATAATGATTATAATAATTATAATAATTATAATAATAATAATCCTATTAATAATAATAATAATAATAATAATAATAATAATAATAATAATAATAATAATAATAATAATAATAATAATAATAATAATAATAATAATAATATAAATAACAATAATTATTACAAAAACTATAACAATAATCAAAATAATCAAAATAAAGCGTTACAACAATAATAATAATAGAAATAACAATTACAATTACAATAACTATCAAAATAGTAGCGATAATGATGGTGATAGTTATTGATGATAATAATAACAATGATAACAAAAATTATAATAATACAAATAGTAATGGCGACAATAACAGTAATAGTAGTAATTATAATGGACCCAAATTGGTAAATGCATTTGGTAATTTAATGAATTTCGAATTATCAAGATGAAAACATATGGAAATTTTAATTGAAGAAATAATATAGTAATAATAACAACAATGCAAAAACAATGCTCTCATGAATAAGCTTTTGTATAACAATGAATAGCAACACAGTATATAGCAAAGATTCAAGAGATACTATCGACGATTGGTCAAATAAAAAGATTAGTGAATGGTTAACATTATTAAAATTTCCCATAGAAATCATTTCAACTCTCGAGTTTTGTGTAGTAGATGGAGGAACATTAGTTTTTATTTCTGATAATTTACCAAATGATGTTTAATTAATTTCCTTAGGCCTGAATGCTATGGGCAAAAGATTAAAATTTAAAACCTTTTAGAAAAGTTATTAGCTCAAAAATAAAGTCAATATCAACCTTTAGGTTATAGTAACAACAATAATAAAATAAAAATAAAACAATTTTGATTGATTTATTTGTTTATAATTAATTCTTTTTATTTGTTTCTTTTATTAATTTTTATTATTTGTTTTTATAATATTATTTATTTGTATAGAGTTCTTTTAATTGCCCCTTTAAAATTTGTTTGAGTTTTAAGTGTTAAAAATTGTTTTTTTTTTTTTGTAATTTATAATGACGAATGTGCAACGTTATATAATTTCATTAAATAACAATCAAATTTGGATAGTGGGTGGGTTTATAAAAGAAAGAATAAAGTTAAAAAAAAGCAGATACGTGTGTTTTCATTATGCAAATGTGTGTTAGATTAATTTTATTTTATATAAAAACAAACACTCACTATACCCATATTAGAAATAGCTTTTACTTTTTTTTTAAAGTTAAAAATATATTTATTATTTTTTTTAATATTTTTAATAATTTTTATTATTCATTTGTCCTATCTTTAATTTTTTTTGTTTATTTGGGTGAGTGGGTTTTTTTTTGTTCATATTAAATAACACAAAAACTAATAATTTACCCCCTCCAACAATGCAACATTCTCCATATTACTTTTTTTTTGAACTTATAAACAATCACATAATTTTTAAATACCCCTTTAATAGTATAATAACAATAACCAAATATATTAATATTATATAAAAATATAATATTAAAAAATTAAATATTAAATTCATTATTTAATTTTAATTTTTTTTTTTCTTTTTTTTTTTTTTAAAAAAATAATAAAAACTTGTCTTATAATTACTATTCATTAATTCAGAAAAAAAAAAATAAAAGATGGATAATCAAACTTTAACAAATAATAATAATTTATTAGGAAGTGACAGATTTTGGTAAGTAAAATTAATTATAGTTTTTTATTTTTTAAATTATTAAAACTAATTTTAAAATATATCTATTAAATTTTATAGCTTAAAATGTAAAACTAACTCAACTCCTTTATGGAGAAGGGGCCCAGAGTAAGTTTAACATAATTAATTTATTGTTTTCAAAAATATTTATTTTTTTATTTTTTTATTTTTTTATTTAGCAAATGTATTTTGTGTAATGCTTGTGGGATCCAGTACAAAAAACTGTTGAAAATTTTCAATGAAAACAATTATGGTTGTGAACATCAAATCAATATAAACCCATTTTCACTGATACTTTCGGTATTCATGGGAGGAGTATATTATACAATTCCAGATCTAAAATTTATCTTAATAGCTCTTTTTAGTTTCCCAGTAGTCAAGGATAATACATTTACCTTTAGCTATAAAGGATTCACGTTTAGTACCGATGAAAAAACTTTTTTGAAATACCACTGCTCAAATTGCCCCCAAAATAATTAATTTTAAGAAAAATAAAAAATTTAAAACTTAATTTTTTCTAAAAAAAAAATAAACCAATTCAAAGAAAATGATAATGTAAAAAGTAGGAACTATAATTTATTTCTTTTATAATTGAATTTTTAATTTTCACATGTTGGTCATTTTTTACTGCTTTGTGGATGCAGTTATTTCTTTGGATGTAAAAAACTGATATAATAAGATTCAACCTTCGTCAAACTTTTTTTTCTCCCAGAACGTTGACAGTCATTGATTGTACCTGTTTGTTCCACTTGTCTAATGTTTTTGATACTGTTGATTTATGTACACCCAATTTTTTTTTGAGCTTGACTTTAGATTTCTGTTTTTAAAGGTTAACATTGAGTATCGAACTTTATCACTTAACCTCATTTTGTTTAAATATTATTGGTAAATGATATTTTATTTATGATATAATAAAAGTTGGAGTCTACTATGATTACTGTTATTGTTGCCACTAATATTTGTATTATTACTATTACTTCTGCTACTGCTATTTGTACTATTATAATTTTTGTTATCACCATTATTGTTATTATTATCATCTTCTTCCTTCACCATGATTATCGCTACTATTTTGATAATTATTGTAATTACTATTTCTATTATTGTTGTTGTTATTGTTGCTATAACATTTTGTTTTGATTGTTTTGATTGTTTTGATTGTTTTGATTGTTTTGATTGTTTTGATTATTGTTATAGTTATTGTAATTATTATTATTTTTGTTATAATTATTGTTATTAATGATCTTACAAAAAGTAACACAATGATCAATATTGGTGGTGTTATTTTAAATCTTTAAACTTCAGTTCCATCATAACCAAAACTATTTCAGAATCCAATACTATTGTTTTGGTGAAAAAATTTATTTTTTTATATATCTCATTTTTGTTTATAAAAGTATAATGATTATAATTATAATAGTAAAATAATAAAATCTTAATAAAAAAAGAAATAATGAAATTTTTAAAAAATAAAATATTTGATAAAAAAAAAAAAAAAAAAAGAAATAATGAAATTTTTAAAAAATAAAAAAAAAAATTTTATTTTTATTTTTATTTGTTTTTTTTTATTTTATTTTTTATTGTTTTGTTGAATATATTTTTTGATGTTATTATTTCTAATTTCTAAATTAAATTGTACATCATACCAATATGATGTCTTTTTAAAACATTACCATATGGGTTCTGGTTAGTTTTAATAATAATTTTAATTTTATAAAAAAAATTTAAAAAAAATAAAATAATTAAAAAAAAAAAATTTAAAAAAAAAATTTAAAAAAAAAATTGAAAAAAAAAAAAAAAAAAAAAAAAAAAATCGCCAAATCACAAAAAGATACAACCAAGATCATTATTAAAAATGATTAGAAAAAAAAAAAATTAATGTTTAAAAAAATCATGAAATCGTTCCTCTTATTAATTTTAAAAATAAATACATATTAAAATTTTTAAGAAGAAAATGGGTATTTTTTTAAAAAAATTTAAGCCACTTCAATAATTTTTCATATTAATTTTAAAAAATAAATATACATTATAATTAAATGTAAAAAAAAGCTATTAATAAAAAAAAATTGGTGTGTAAACCACTGTATTTATTTATAACATTAATTTTATTAATAAATACACATCGAAATTGGTGTGTGGAAAAAAATTAAAAAACCCTAAAAGATACTATCAATTATTATTATTTTTTTCGAATTGAAACTGATGATCAATGAGTTTAATGATAAGGAAGAGTTTTTAATTTATAATTTAACAAATTTATTTTTTTTTTTATTTTTATTTTTATTTTTTAATTTTTTTTAATTTTTTTTTTAATTTTTTTTTTTTTTTATTAAATTAAAATAATCCATTAATTTCAATTTTTAAAAAAAAAGATTCTTGGCAATACACAGTTTAGTTTTTAGTAATCATATACCAGATAAAAGTTTTGACAATTATCGACTAATAGTTAGAGAATTATTTAATGGAAAGAAATTTTATTTGATGAGTTTGATGAATATGTTTGGGTATAAATGAAAAATTTTTTTTCACAAGATGATATCGAGATGGTGAGGAAGAATCTTTTGAAAGTGAATAATTTAATTTAGATCTGATTTTTAAATGGATATTAAAATTTAAAGCAATTCATAGAACCTTACATTATGAAGGTTATGGTACAGATGAAAAGAAAACAGATATGGATTTCATTTAAAAAAATAAACAATGTAAAATGATATTAAAAAAACTTTTAATTTATTTATTTAATTTTATTTTTAAAAAAGAAAAAATTATAATTTTGATTTTGATGCTGCTTCATTTTCTGATTTAATTTTGACAAATTCAGCTATGCCACAAGCATTGCAAAGATAAAGGGGCTTGGATGTAATCTTACATTTGATTTTTTTACTCTTTCTCCAAGCAACAGAAAACCGACTTAGACATGAAGAGCAACCTGGTTCTCTGTGAATTTCTATCTTTGGATGCTTTTTTGCCTTGGTTTTGTGAATGGAGCCATGATTCCCGTCATTAATCACTTCTATGAAATCATATTGATGGAATTGTGAAAAAGCAAAATCCTTTGATCTTTTACGGGAACATTTTTTAACTGGGGAACACTCATCATCGCAATTCAACAAAATAGTCACCCCGGCCTGGCTAGTTGTTGGTGCACAATCAAAAAAATGTTTATAAATAGCTGGGTAAGCTGGGGGAATCATTGGAAGAGTTAATGATGTTACCATTGATGGGGGAGCTGTAAACGGTGTTGAAGCTACCATCGGTGTGGAACTTTCCATTGGTGTATATGTCGCCATTGGTGCATATGTTACTCTTGGTGCTGGTGATACCATTGATGGAGGAGTTGTAAACGGTGTTGAGGCGAGAATTAGTGCGGATGTTTCCATTGGTGCAGATGATACCATTGGTGAATATGTTACGATTGGGCCTGGTGATACCATTGGTGCAGATGATACCATTGGTGGTGGTACCATTGGTGAATAAGTTACGATTGGGGCAGGTAAAACCATAGGGCCTGGTGATGGTATCATTGGTGCAGATGTTACTAGTGATGCCATTATTCCAGATGTTGCCATTGGTGCTGGTGATACCATTGGTGTGGCAACTGGTGCTGATATCATTGATGTTGGAACTGATGTTGCACCTTGAATGGGGTAGTGATTATAGCCGTAATTATTAAAATTATTAAAATTATTAAAGTTTATATTATCATCACTATTTTCAGAACCATTCATAATGGCGTTTCTAAAAGTAGATTTTTTGCCATATTGAAAAATTGAAGTATCACTTAGACTGGTACATGATGTACTAGAGGTGTAATTATAGTTATTATATACATAAATGACATCACTTTTAATTGGCGGGAGTTCATAGCCACAACCTTTGGGATCATCCGTACTAATCTTGTGTAGTGGATAATAGAAATTTGAATAACGATTATCTTTGCTTCCTTTTTCATAATAGTTGGTTTGGGATTTAATAATACGGTGAACAAATCCTGGGAAACTAGAACCCAAAATAAAAGATAATGGTTCAACCTAAAAAATTATAATTTAAAAAAAAAAAAAAAAAAATTAGTAATCTAAAACAAATTTATTAGATATATTTATTACTAACAGATTTTTTGTCTTCATTTTCAGTATAAATATAGGAGCTGTCCATTTTTTTTTTTTTTTTTTTAGTTTAATTAAATGTTTTGATTTGATTTATAATGATGAAATAAAAAAAAAGTAATTAGTATTTATAATTTTTTTAAAAATATTAAAATAAAGAAAAATTATTATTATTTAATTATTTTTATTAAATCATTTTTACTTTTTGGGCTAATTATATACATAATAGGTGAATAAAAAAAAATTTCCAAACTTAATTTAATTATTGTTAATTTCTATTAGGATTTGGTTATAAATGTATTTTTGAATATCATCATAGATATATTTTCGTTATTATTATTATTGTTATAGTGTTGTTTTATTATTTATTACTACAATTACAACAAATTTTTTTTTTATTGTCAAAAATCAAAAGGTTGATAAATGTGCTTATAACTGTGGTATATGTGCTATATGAAGGGGTAAAAATATAATTGCTTATATATTATTTATTGGTTATATTATTTAATTAATTTTTATTTTATTTTTTATTTATTTATTTTTTATTTATTTTTGAATGATAAAGTATAGCAAATATATTATTTATGCATATTTATTTTATTGGTTCTTAGTGTGTGTGAAAAAAAAAAAAAAATAATAACAATATTTACTTACTATTTTTATCCAAATTTTAAGTTAATTTTTTTATTTACAAATTTAGAAAAATTTAACGTAGTTTATTTTTCTATAACATTATTCGCAATGTATGAAGCCATTATCGAATATTTGAAACTTATGACTGTAATGGCAGTGATTTAATTTAAATATATTAGAGTGATAATATTTTGCAAAAAAAAAAAAAAAATTAAAAAAATTAAAATTTTAAAATAAAAAAAAAAAGAAAATTGATGTGTTTTTTTTGAAAAAAATAAAGTTTTTTTTATTATTTTTTTTAATTTTTAATATTTTTTTATTGAATAAAAAATAATTAATTTACAACAATAATATTATTTTGCATATTAAAAAAAAAGTTAATATGCTGTTTTATTGTAAAAAAAATTAATTGTAATTATATTTATATTTTTAGTAATGTGTTTGAGTGGTTGTGTGTTTGTGTGGTAATTGTTGTTGAGTTCAATCAAAAATCAAAATAAAAAAAAAACTGGTGTAGGTGTGTTAAAGTGTTTATTGTGTGTTAATCAAAAATACACAATCTCCAATATCACATCCCCAAAAAAAAATTAAAAAATTAAATTTTTTTTTTGAGTTTTTGTGTGTTAAAAAAAAATTTATTTTATCAACATCAATATTATTATTATCATCAACAATATAATTTTTATTATTTTGTTATAATAAAGAGTTATAATATTTTTATCTATCAATTAATTTTAATTGTATATTTACTTTTCTTACATCCAAAAAAAAGTTAATTTTTTTTTTTTTTGTCTATAAATATCTTAAAGAAATGGAAAGCAATGATGGCAGTAAAGTTCTTAAAGTAAGAAGAAATAAAACCAAAATAGAGAAGCCAGTGGCATGCTATTATTGTAGAGCTAGGGTCTCACCAGAGTGGAGAAGCAGTTTGGTAGAAATTGATGGTGTTTTAAAAAAAGTAGCTGCATGTATTGCATGCGGTATCAAACATAATTTTAATTAACAAAAAAGAAAACAAAATAGTATCCACAGACTATTAAATTAGGATGTAGCAATAGAAGGATAAAAACAATAAAAAAAATCTTCTTTAATGATTTATTTTTAAATAAATTTAATTTTATATAAATTATAGTTTTTTTTTATTTATAAAGGTTTTCTAAAATAGTTTTTTAATTTTTGCAGTATGTGAGGTTAATGTTTGTACAAATACTAATCCTTCTACTTTGTCTATTCTTAGACTTGAACTTAAAAATGGGCATAACAACAGAAGACCACAATCCATTCTGTCAGGCAGCGATTCATATTATGATTCTATGATTGATGTTTCAATTGAATGAAATGCATCTTGACATACCCTAACTAAGTTTTTTGATGGATCATGAAACATCTTTTTTGATAACCGTTCTTTACCAATTGACAAAAGATTTTAAATTGTAATGGTCAACTTGAATTTTATTCTCTTCTAAATATTGTTTCACTGCGAACTACATTTATCATGTGAAATGATTGGCACCCTTTCAGACACTTAATTTTTATATGCATAGTATTCTAAAGTTCATTGTGTGTCGTTTTGTAGATAGAGTTTAGAATCTTATCATTTGGATAAATGAATAAGATAACCATCATAAACAATGTTTCCCCAAAACCTTACATTAACCCCACCCTTTTTAATACTTGTCTTGATTTAGATTCTTGAATATTGTATATTTTTTATGAAAGAAATTAAAAAATTAATTTTAATTATTGTTAAAGCGGTTCAAGTTTTCCCACACATTTGTTATATCAAAATTTAATGCGAAAAAAAGTTAAAAATTTGGTGGGTTTTTTTTTTGTTATTTCAAATTTGTGCAAACTTGTTTCGCTCTTACAATATTTTATTTTTTTTTAGAAAAAATATTTTAAATTTTTTTTTTTTTTTTTAATTATTAGATCAACATTTCCGTTCATTATTTATAATAACAATCATTATTACACTTTCTTTCACCTATAAAATCTTTATCATAATCACCATCATTGAAAAAAATGGAAAAGAATAATGAAAATGATAATCTTCTAATATATAGTCCGATCTAATCAGCAAACTATTTTAGGAGCTGATTACGACATTAGCTACTGTGTGTTGACAATAAAAAACTACCCAAAAGTTTCAATAAAAGATATTGATTAAAAAATTCCAAGGTCACCAAAAACATCATCATCCTCTAATAACAATTCCAATCAAAAAAAAGAAGAGAGTATATATAAAATTACCTATTTTTATAAAATTACTAAAAAAATATATTATATCTACAAAGTAAAAAAATTTAAATCATTTCTTTATTGAATAAAATAAAAATAAAAAAAAAATTTAAATATAAAATTAAAATTATTTTAGTATAGTTATATTTAATTTATTTATAGTTGTTTTTTAATTTTAATTTTTTATAAAAATAATTAGTATTGTTTGAATTTTAAAAGTAATATTGGAATTAATATGAAAATATAAAGATTTATTTTGGTTTGAAATAAAACAAGTTTTTGGTTTCTAGGTTTTCAAATTTTTGAATTATTTGTGGTGTTAAAACTTGATCAAAAAATTGATATTTAGGGCCGTTCCACTCTACGTAATATCTACCGAGTTTTATGACGAATTGGTCACGGCTGACACGGGAACATTTGAATAGCCTTTTGATTAAATCCGATATATGTTCAACAGAGGTATAAATTCTTAACATATATACGTCTTTAATAAGAGGGACAATGTGGCTGTACACGGCATATTGATAGTCTACTTTGTATGGAGCTAGGGCCTTTAGAATCTTTTTATATTGAAGACCGCAGCTATTGCATAAATAGCAATAGCTATGAAAAAAATTTAAAAAAAAAAATAATTAATAGTCTATTTAAATAGTTTTTATTTTTAAAATGAATACTTACCCAGGGCCTCTTCTCCATTCACATGAATCATCTGTTTTGCATCTTTTACTATTTTATTTTCTATTGTTAATATTAAATTTTTTAAAACAATTTTTTTACAATATAATGAAAATATACATACCAAATTTTTGGCTCTGTTACAGGTGGTCTACCAGCTTTTTTCTTTTGTGAGCTATCAATTGGAATATAGTAACTTTTTCTTTTATTAACTTTTGCAGGTGTTTGGTTTTGGGTATTTGATGATTTCATATTTGTTGTTTGAATTTTTAATTATAATGAATAATCTTTTAAAATACGAAACAGTTTTTATATCTTTTTTTTTTTTTTTTTTTTTGAGAAAAAATTAAAAATAAATATAAATCCAATTTAAATATAATTTAAAAAAATAATATTTATGTAATGTTTATTTAATTATAATTTTTTTGTTAGATTTGATTTAAATTGGGAACTATAATTTAGTATTATTATTATATTAATGAATGATATGATATATTTTGATATACCACGCTATAAAATCCATTTATATGATTATGGTTGTACATTTA